ACTGCCGGAGGCTTTTAGAATGCAGTTATAATGTATTTCAAGCTATGGAGGCAAAAATGCCCTGTAATAATAATAATAATAATAATAATGTTTTTTGAGCAGAATATTAGAATGATTTCTGAAGGATCATGTGACACTGAAGACTGGAGTAATGATGCTAAAAAAAAATCAGCTTTGAAATCACAGGAATACATTACATTTTAAAATATATTCAAATATTTGTTTGAGAAGCAAATCAGAATATTAGATTGATTTCTGATGGACACTGAAGACGGATGTAAGGATGCTAAAAAAAATCAGCTTTGAAATCACAGGAATACATTACATTTTAAAATATATTCAAATAGAAAGCATTTTAAATAGTAAAAATATTTCACAATATTAAAGCTTTTACTGTATTTTGGATCAAATAAATGCAGGCTTGGTGAGCAGAAGAGAATCTTTAAAAAAACTAAAATCTTACTGTTCAAAAACTTTTGACTGGTAGTGTATTTTAAAACAAGTTAGTCATCAATGGCAGGCGTGGCAAAATATTAATTTTGGACCCTGATCTGAGAGATGTAGGATGTTGATATGATATATCTTGGTCTTTTTTAGCGCACCTGTACCTAAGCAATAACGCTCTGTGTTCTTCACAGTGTAGACAGATAAGATGTTTAGGATAAGACTGACTGACTGTGAATCACTCCAAAGCAAGACTTCTTCTACAGGAAATGTGCCTGTCTGAGACCGGCAGACAGATGTTTTGAACATACGTCAAACCTCATGTGCATCTTTTCAGTTGCCTCCAGCTTGATACCTTTCAAGTCACTCGTGGTGATTACAGTTAGATCATGGTTTAGACTGCCCATTGAGTGGAAACTGCTGGTCTAAATCCTGTGTTGAGACTAACACAAAAAGCAGGGCCTTTAGTAAAACAGGGGCATCTTTATCATAAAGTCCAAGTAGACCACAGATACGTAAAATAGCCGGAAAAGAGGGTTTACTAGTCTACTGTGAATGTCATTATCGTCAAACCTCATGTGCATCTTTTCAGTTGCCTCCAGCTTGATACCTTTCAAGTCACTCGTGGTGATTACAGTTAGATCACGGTTTAGACTGCCCATTGAGTGGAAACTGCTGGTCTAAATCCTGTGTTGAGACTAACACAAAAAGCAGGGCCTTTAGTAAAACAGAGGCATCTTTATCATAAAGTCCAAGTAGACCACAGATACGTAAAAACCGGAAAAGAGGGTTTACTAGTCTACTGTGAATGTCATTATGGTATTTACTAGTCCCTTGTGATATATTTGACAAAAGCAATCATAAATACATTTTTTTATTTTTTTTTAAAAAGGTCATTATTTATTTATTTTATTTTTTTACATTCTAGTATATTGTTGTTTAAAGGAAACTGCACAAATCCATGCCATAAAACTATTCTGACCCTGACATTTTATTCTTTGATGCTAAAATGTAAATATAAAGGACTGTTTGTCAAGACAGGAAAGGAACATTTGTCCAAAACAGCATGTTACATGTCCTTAGAGGAGACTAATCATCAAAGACGCAAAAACCCAAATTACTTACTAACAGGAAAGAAGGAGAGGTCTGGATAAGCATTCACCATTTGGAATTTTTTATGGGCACTTTTTCAATGAAGTTGTCAGGGTCTGTGTTTCCAGTGAAACAACAATTTACTGCTTATACGGTTGGTACTAACAGGGTTTTGGCCAATCTGTTCTTCTGAAAGTTGGAAAAAGCCTTCAAGCCTTCAAGTTATTCAGGCTGTATGTAGTTTGCATACTTGTGCATTTTAAAGACATATTCAAGGTCTGAAGGTTATAAGGCGGGTGTAGATGTATAGATAGATAGTCTCTTGTATTTGGGGTCAATGCTTTTCTTTATCAATGAGAGTAATTACAGCTGTTTATAGATTGCACAAATACCACCCACCCCAAAAAATAAATAAAATTAAAAATCTGTGCCCAGTTGCATCTTGTGCTTCTTTCTGCCTACAATGCTTCTTTTGTTTATGTGTGCTCTTTAAATCTAAAATGACTCCAAGACTCCACTGCTGAATATGGAAAGGGCACAGGCAAAGTGGAAGATGGTGATATTTAAAGGAAATTAAAAAAAATGCTTTGAGCTGAATAAAAAGAGAAGAAGAGTCTCTTTCATTATGGATGCATGATGAAATGAATATGGAATTCAGAATTATTATAGTGAGGTTTGTCTGAAAGAGGGAAACTTCCATAGTATTACAAGTAATCTCGAAATAATAATAAAACAAATCTGCTTGCATTACCTATAAGGGATGCTTGTTTCTTGCTGGCTGAATGAATCCGTAGTCTTCAACATTAATCCATTTTAACTGTAGTGAGAGTAAAGGCATTGACTAGGGCAAGGGTGTCCAAACTTGCAGAGTTTAGCTCCAACTTGCCTCAGCACACCTGCCTGGAAGTTTCTAGTATGCATATAAGACCTTGGTTAGCTGGTTCATATGTGTTTAATTGTGGTTGGAGCTGAACTCTGCTGGACAGTGGCCCTAGAGGAGCGGGACTGGACCCCACTAAACTAGGGTGTGTGTGATGTAATGGACACTGACAGCAAACAAGTAAACAGATGCTTGTAGTGAGACAGACACTGGGAATTCAGGAGCTCTACTGCATCCTCTCTCTCACACAGATGTCTATGAAAGGAGATGCAGGATGCACAACTTTACACCAAACATGGATCCATTTATAGAGAACACGTTTTTTACCCAGCACCCAAAAAAGACAGGCAAGAGGAATTGTGCCTCTTTCCCACCAAGATAAATTATTATAAGAGCCAAGAAATTCTGATGATACACATTGTGTTATACTTCCTGCTAAAATAAAGCTATACATTCTGTAAAGCTATACAATCAAAATAGGATTGGAGTTAATTTACTATCCTTCTGTCGCTCATGTTCACTAAAGTGTATAAAACATTTATTCTCATCAACAGTCACAACTCACATCAAAAAGGGTTATTTTGACTGGCGCACACTTCAGGTCCATGGCATCTCTTAAAACTATTATTCTCACAAAGTGGCATTAAAGCAGAAAAAAATAGAAAAACAAAACCCTCTATGATTCAGCTAAGCTGCACAGTGCCAGTACAATTACATTCATAATATGTTAGACAAGAAAATGTGCTTACTATGAACCATTGGATGATCCTTTAAGATGCATTTGATTTTGTTTTTTTTACTGATAAAAGTACCGCTGTGCATAAATCTAAATCATCAGTATATTGCAGATGTATTATTTAATTCAATAAAAAATAATTTAAGACCGTTTTATTAGGCCCACGAAATAATAATTTAAAATATCCAGTTTCTCTGGCCAAAAAATATAGCTCTCAACTTAAAAGTTACTAACAAATGGTCCTGTCATTATAACACATTAGTTTCACATTTATATCCCACTGGCCTCACATGTCAAGGCTAGGCAGAGGAGGGTCACAAGAGATCCAGTGGGAGACATGAACTGTGTCCAGACATCTGGGAGGCTGTTTTTACCTATAAACATCATTCATGAACACATACATCAAACTGAGGACTATACAAAGAGTGGAAAAGTGTGTTTGGCTAAAGTAAGATGCTGACAGAACCTGGAAGGAAACAACACTGTGAAATTTGATATTACTTTTGCATGGAACAAGTTTTACTTTCTTGTGCCAAGTTTGCCACAAGTTCTAAGTGTTCTAAGTATTTTTAGCTGGTTGCTATGTAGTTGCTAGGGGGTGGTTGCTTTATATTTAGTCCCTGTATATGGCTAATAGCACAAAACATATCTCCGTGTGATTGGTATAACAACGCAAATCCTGTTGTGCATTAAAACTATAAATCAACAGTGAAAAGCTGACTTATATATAACAATGTCGGTAACACTTTAGTATAGGGACCAATTCTCCCTATTAATCAGTTGCTTATTAGCATGCCTGTTATTAACATATTGGCTGTGTATTAGTACTTATAAAGCACATATTCTGCATCCCTAATCCTACCTAAACTTAACAACAATTTAACAACTATTAATAAGCAGCAGATAATGAGTTTGAGGCAAATCTCGTAGTTAATAGTTTGTTAATAGCGAGAATTGGACATTAAAATAAAGTATGACCAGAATGTCAAACTGAACAGAAATATGACTTTTCAAGTGCGTCAGAAATATAAACAGGGAGTGTTTGTCTGTGATTCCTTCCCTTCCTATCTTTTCCCTTATGTTTAACAAAAGGAAAAATGTCTCTTGGAATGAGTGCCTATACCGTCAGCAGCCTTGGCACTTATTATGACTCAACGGAACAATCAAACCCCTTTTCCTGATCCTGTAAAGTGCAGGAAAAAAGTCAACTGAACTGACATCTCAAGTCATACTCCCAAGGCCCTTCATATCCTGATGTTTGCTAAGGAATGTATTTCCTCTCTCCCCCAACCCTCCCAAGTGAGCTTTACTTTCACCACAGATGACGAGAGGTCACAGATGTGGTGAACAAGCAAGCATGTCTTGTACAGCCTGATACACTGTCAAACACTTACAATTCAATTTGGATTGTACTGTAAAAACCCGAAATGCAAAAAAAAAAAAAAAATAAAAAAAAAGAAAAATAAAAAATCGAAGTTTTTAGAGTAAAATATCTGTACCAACTCAGTGAACACAGTAAGTTCAATATGAGTTAAACAAACTACTGATGTTTCAAGTTCAATATGCTTGCATTTTGAAATGAAGCTTTATTGTGTATTCTTGATGTAAAAATCTGGTTTGATTTGTTTGGAAGTGGTGTACAATCAAATACCAATATCATTTAACACTTAGCCATTGAATGATTTTATTTCTCAGATTAGAATGCAAATTAGTATATTTCTTGACAAATTTTCTCTAGTTCTGCATTTTGCATTGTGCATATTCAAATGGTGGTGAATTCAAATCCAATACAGTAGCACTGGATGGATAAAGATGCTGGGTTGGGCTAGCAGGCTGAAACAGACTTACCCTCGCACCCTTCTCAGGATAACACTGACACCCTCCGCTGCAGTCTCTCCCCCCACATGGTCCACCGCTCTTCTTCACTCCCTGAGAAAGAGAAAGAGAGAGAGAGAGAAAAAGACATGGTAAGATGGCACATATTGAGATTGTTGGGTTATGTTCTTATTCAGTGCCAACAGATGTTATGCCTTGCGAAACGACAAAGTATATTTAATTTATAGCATATTTAGAATTTTAAATAACGGACAAGAATGCTGCAAAGTTGTGATGTTGTGCTAGAGCAGGGGTGCCCAACCCTGCTCCTGGCGATCGACTGTCCTGCAAAATTTAGCTCCAACTCTAATCAAAGACACCTGCCTTTAATTTTTAAGTGATCCTGAAGACCCTAATTAGTTGCTTCAGGTGTGTTTGATTAGGGTTGGAGCTGAACTTTGCAGGACAGTCGATCGCCAGGAGCAGGGTTGGGCACCCCTGTGCTAGAGGCTGTCATAGTGCAGTCGGTTTTTCTAATCTGGCAGCTTGTTGTGAATCACCATCATGTTCCAGACACTCTCATGACTAAGAGAGTGTTTTACTTGCTAAAACAACCACATACAAAAAAAACATCAACCACTTAACATTTTTATTTTGGAAGAACATAAGTGCTTGATGGTTTGTTTTTATTAAAACGAACAGATTTTGGCATTTTTCCTTATGGGAAGATCACATTAAAGCTTTTACCATGCCTTCACCCATTATTTTTGATACTTCTCAATCTTGCATCATTTTCTTACTAATTTAGTGTATATTTAGGACACATTTAATGTTAATGTTATGAAATAAGCTTTAACAAGACTTTAGCAAGCAACAATTCTATTAAATAAAATGATAAAATGTAATTTTCATCACATAATTAAACCAATCAAATAATAAATTGAGATCTTAAGCCCATAACTGAACAAACACCCAACTGTATATCAGAAACTCATTTAAAATCTTTAACTACGCCCTTTAAAGCATGACTCAGCTGGACTATATAGTTTGAACTTGGAGCCAACTAAAGCATTTCACTGTAAAGACAAGTTAACTTAACTTATGATGTGCTTTAACTGTAGGAATTCATTTTGGGGGGTCTGCAAATGAACATTACCCAGCTAATGAATACATGATTTATTTTTCTTTTTGTGAGGGAGAACCTTATTTATCGGAGGGTCTCATTCTATGACCGGCAGCATGTCTGCTCACACCTACACACTGATCCCACAGACTGCTGAAACAGCCCTGTGTGTCCATGAAACATTTAAGGCCAAGACAAAACTGTCTGCTTTTTTTCTTGCTGTGCGACAAAGTGATTTAGAGACATTCTGTCTTGTTCGTCTGATATGAGATGCTGGGCAACCAACAGACAAAGGCCACATTGAGCCTCCTGCCTCAAGTCACAAAGAATTCTTTTAAATGAGACCACAGACAGATTCATGATCCTCTAATAGAAGAAAAAATAAAGCTGCACGTCCTTCCTTTCAAATATTCATACTGCAGAGCCCAGATTTACAATCAAATTAAACATTTAAATATTGAATATTTATCAAATCTGAAAAATCTTAAGAGATTAGTGTAACAAATCAGCCTGATATCATTAAATGGTGGAAGTAGGTGTACTGCTATTAACAATCTTCTCTGAGCACTGTAAGTCCTGAAACAATCTAGTGACTCCATAGGGAAGCATTGTTTTTCAGAAGGTGGGAAAGATTAAGAACAAAGCAGCACAAATGTCATGGCAATTTAAACAATGAGTGTAAGACTGGCCAGTTTCAGTTTATTGCTAAATAGTTGATGATTACAGCAGATGATGAGAGGAGTATTGTGTTCTATCCTGTTCCACCCCACGCTTTCCCCACCAAAAAATGACCTTTTCCACTGCTACCTGGAAAAACACTTCCCAACAAGCCTGAGACAATGATCACCTGGTTAGCATTTGCCCACTCCCGACACAAGCCATGAGTATGCACTCAGGAGTGTGTTTTTGTGCATGGAGGTAGGATGTTTTCCAAATCAAACCACTGGAGGACAAAGGGTAATGAGTAACAACGCTGAATTATACCAGAGATAGCTTGCCCACGGCAGCACAGTTTCCTTTCATCCGGTCTTGCAATGCCAGTACTATGACAGGAGCTGAGAGTTTCACAGAGATATGATTATTTTATTTCTACATTGTGGTTGAATAATGGAGAAATTCAATGTTCCTGTCATTTTGCACTGCAGTTAACGGGGTGGATCATGTGTTGGCGCCGTAACCTTGTGGGCTGCGCTCTGGCATATGATGAAACAGCACCTTAGGTGTCCTGAGTTTGAGTCACAACTTGATGTCCTTTCCCAATTCTGTTCTCCTCTGCAAATAAAAGCTTATTTTGTTTCTTTACTGTTTTATCTAAAAAAGTAATCGTTCACCCAAAAATGAAACTACTATCATCATTCATTCACACTCATGCCTTTCTAATCCTGTATGTTTTTCCTCTGTGGAGCACAAAAGAAGATATTTTGAAGAATGTTGGGTTAGACTCAACATTGGACCCCTACTGGCTTACATCATGTGAAGAAAATAAATAAAACAAAACCTTAAAAATAAATAAATAAACATAACTTCATTTGTATTGAACAGAAGAAAACAGTTATACAACTGTGAAATGATGACATAATTTTCATAAAAAGGCTGCTTGCCAATTAATGGTAGATTGGGGGTGTAATATAACTTATAATATTAATTTTTGGAATAAGAATATCTACAGCACAAAGGTAAAATCACAATACTTTAACATAAAAAAATAAGGTTTGCATTTCTTCAAAAATACTGAAAATTTGTGAAATATAATTTGTGGAAACACAAATTAAACTATTTAACTTTAAAGAAACTAAAGGATAAAAAAAATCCCTTTTGCAATTGAACATGTTATTTATAAGTATCTTTCTCACACATGGGGAAAGTTTAAAGACTGATATAAAGTGAACAATAAATATATTTTCCACTAAAAGTGATATTCTGATGTTTAAATGTACTCTGGGTAAAAATGAAGCCCACATGACAGAAATCACTTGGTCAGTGTGCAGTCTGTTCAGCACTCGCAGGAAGTCAGAAGTCTGTCTGTTAGACCATTGGCTATGTCTAAAACAAAAAACAACAAAACAAAAAAAAACAATACCAGACAAATACATAGAGAACAAAAACACACACACAGATTTGTTACCGCAGAGGCCAGAAATGTCCCAGACAACACTGACCACAAACACAACAATGAAACTAGACAACAGAGGCATAGATTAATGAGCAACGAACTGGCAATCGTCTAACTATGAAGCTCAAAGCCACACACTTTGCACAAAACAGTGCAGAGAAAAGATGCACACACTGTTCCAAACCCACCCAACTGCCACTTCATCTTTAAGTCTTTTTTCACATACTGTAGAAATGCCTATTTCAAACCAACCATACAAACCAGACTCAGCTCTAATGTGAAAGCATATTATGTACTGGAGCATATTATGTATTGTTATGTAGAAGGAAGTTGAGTGTTCAATAGGCCTCATTCATTCAAAGACATTTCGAGCCTCCTTAAATAAGAGACAGAGGCCTGACTACAGTCTGAAACTATCTGCATTCATCTGCGATGATCATTCAACAATTATGCCCAAATCACATATAATCAAAGTCTCTGAGACTCAATCTATTAATAGCTGAATTTTAACACATGCTGTAAATAATGACGTAATGAATGTTCATTTTTATTCAGCATTCAGTACAATCAGCACTTTTTTTTCCCCGAAAGGGAGGTAATGTGTCAGTATGTATAAACCCTTAGTCTATAAATTCTCTAAGCCTAGACTTTATGAAGGAAGTACCTAGTGTCAGAAAGATTAATGTGTCTAATAAAGAGGAAAGAGTAAGATAACAGTGGTCTTTGTCCTTTTCCTCTTAGAGACACAACCTGTCCCCTCCTCAATGCTCCATTTGGCCTTGTTTTGTTTTTTGTGAGCAGTGTTCACTGCTCCGATACATATCACTTACTGTTCCCAGCAGTTTTCTCTGTCCCTGGGTCCGTAGACCGGACACAAAGCTTTAGGACCTCAGACCAGCTCTTTGTCCGTTACGGAGGCCGGCAGAAGGGGAAGGCCATCTCTGAGCAGAGGATGGCCCACTGGATTGTGGATGCCATCACCCTGGCTTATCAGGCACAGGGTGTGCCCTGCCCGCTCAGGTTGCGAGCTCACTCTACTAGGAGTGTTGCATCCTCCTGTGCGCTGGCTCGTGGCGCCT